TCTCCGCTGTGTCTCATGGCCAGCAGAAGAGCCAGCCACAGCCACAGTCATAGTCAAGCAGCCTGCCACAAACTTACGAGCATGCACTCAACAGCAGCAGCGCAGCAGCAGCAGCAGCAGCAACAACAATAATAAAATTGAAATATTCATAAAATTTATATGTAAACGCTTGCAGTTTCAACTAGTTTTTAGCCAGCACAGACGTTGTCCTTGGAACTGTTCTTCGTACTTATTTTATTTTTTTTCATGTTTTTGGTTTCTGGTTGCGGTTGGCAATTTATTGTTTTATAACTCGATATTGCCCAAGTTGTTGGCCGTTTCCTAAAACATTGTTGCTGTTGTTGTTGTTGCGCCACGCCTCATTGCTCAGCGCAGCCCTTTGGCACGGGCGCCTTTCCAATTCTTGATGCAGCGCCAAAAAGTATCCACATATTGATTGCCAGCCAAAAATCGAAGAGGCAAGCAGGCAGAGAGACAAAGATTGCAATCAAATCAGAGCCGGGCACTAGATATAACAATTTATGTCCAATTGCACGAAATGCAAATGCTCTCAGCAAGTGCCATAAAGCGTAGCAAATAAGAGCCAAAGTGTGAATTCCAACAATTCAGATTCAATTCAACCATGTGGAGTGCTAGTTATTAGGACAAGGTTATCTTTTAGCACTGCATAAATACATTTTCGATATCAAGTTGCGAACGCAACCATTAAAGTTATGCTAATGATGATAGTAAAAATGATGATGGCTCCAATAAAAGCTGCAATAGTTTGATTCCCATTTTACATTTAAATTAACTATGCTAGAGTATACTCTTCATAGTTAGTTTTCAAATTATAGCATCCTTCAAGCTGCATATGCAATGCTGGAAAATTATCATAGCATACTTTTGCGCGCAGCTGAAATTGCAATTCCTTTGACTATCTATAGAGTGTTCTTAGAGACTAAAAGGTTATAGGAGATAATTGGTACACGATTTAATGAGTGTGTATCACAGAGTAGGTCAGGCAGACAATTTATTCAATTATATTGAGAATTAACAAATAACGGAGCAGCAAACGGAGATGATGGGGCAGACAGAGATGTTGCTGAACAAACGGGGAAAACTAAACGAGGTTTACTCTTGTTTGAGTCAGGTGCTCATAGATTAACGAATAAGCATTGAATGTATAGATATGTGGAACTTTAGAAAGACAGAAAATGAGGCAAAAAGAGAATTAGATTAATATATTTACTAAAAGATTGACAAAGAAAGCTAGATTAACTCTAGTTTTACAAGACCATGTCAGACAGATATTCAACTAAGCAATTAAACAAGCTACGAACAGAAGAATATATATAGACAAACAGCTAGATAACTATATTAAAAGATAGGTGGATAAGTGAGTGACAAGTGAGATATCAAGTTTATTTCCTAACCAAAAGTAGTTGTGGTTTACCACAGCTGAGCACAACTGATATATTAAATATGGTATTCATCTGCTAAAGCAGAAATTGCAAACGGTTCAGTAGTCGTGACAGCTACTGATTGAGCTCGCTTTTGCACTGCTTTCTCTTTCTCCTCCTCCTTTTCTATCTCCATTTAATGGAAATACTTAAGTAGAGCACTTATGCATAATATAAATAGATGCAAAGCATGGTCTCAGACTGCAGTCAGCTCCAGAGAGCTGCCTAGCTTGTTATGGTTGCTTTGTGTCTGTATTGCTGCAGTTGTTGTTTCGACTGATTCTCAATTCTCGATTGATTTCGCTGCTGATGCGGTCATTATTTGTGGATTTCAATTGTTTACGCTTTTCATTTGTGTTTGGCTTTTCGCTTTGTTGCATTTTCAATTGAAATTGGCCATGAAATATGCAAATTGACGCCATTCAAATACATTTTCCCACGCACCTGCATATATTTTTAAATATTCATGATCATAGCACTTTGCTATGTGTGTGAAAAGTGTACGTGTGTGTGTGTGGAGTGAATGATGGCAATGACAAATTACTGGTAATGTCATAAATGTGTTGCTTCTACACTCGAAGAAAAGTAAAGAATTCTTCTTAAAGGCTAATCAAAATTTAGGCTGAATTAAAATTTAAATTTATGAAAAATTCAAATCAAATTATGAAGATATTTCTCTTCATTTTTTGTTGAATTTCTAGATTTAATTTGATTTTTGTCATAACCATCTTCGAAACTTGTTACAAATGGAATTTTCTTGCAGTTTCCTTTCGACTTTTGGTTCGTTTTTTGTTTAAATACTTAAATATACATTACGCAGCTTATCGGAGGGAAATGCAAATAGAACAGTTGTAGCAACGACTGAGACGTTTTGACAAACATTTTCAATTTAAAATGTGACAGAGCCCTGATGCCCTTCGCCATTAAACATTTGCCATTTGCTGCCAGCTGGCAGCTGCCAGTGGCACTGCCTCTGCTGCTTCCGCGTGCCACATTTGCACTTCATTTGCAATTTACCACACACATGTGTATCAGTGTGTGTGTGGATATGACAGGACGTCGACTACATGACCGCGAACCGTGCTCTGTTCATTATTTCATTAGCACATACTGTTTATCAGCGCTTCAAAGCTTTATCGCCCGTTAGCTGCTGTACGCGGGCTGTAGCCCCGCCCAGTTACCTGCTTTGTGTAGTGAGTGCAACCTGAGCAATGTCGTCAACAAATTACAGTTAAGAACCGCAAAGCATTTGCGCCGGCTAACCAACTACGTGCCCCAGCACATTGCACGTAGACCGCATCCGTGACCCGTGACCCGTGACCCATCTTTCATTTCAGATACGGGGCCGCGCCACAGCCGCCCGATGGGGGCACCTCCGTGATAATTGCGCTGCTCGACAAACTCATCGAGAATGGACGCAATTATAGCTACGAGCTGGTGCTCTGTCTCCAGATTCTGCTGCGCAATGTGGCCATGATTGAAATGCCTTTCAAGGTGAGTTGCAAACAAACATTTAACTGACACTCAGCATTTGTGCTGTCTTCCCTGTGAAAGTTCTTAAAAAGAGTTTCGCCACGATTTTAAAAAGGTGCCAGGCAAAATGTGTGAAAAGCTGAAGTTTTCTTAACAAATTAACTTTAAAAATTCTTTATATAATTCTGTATCAGCAAAAAATAGTAATAAAATTATTTGAACTAACTGCAAATTATTATTATTATTTTTCATTTGAGTTATGAAAGGAAAAACCTTTAATGAAATAGAATTTCTTATATTTAATTCATATACAATGCAGCTTTAAGTCGAGATTCAAGACATTTCCTTTGGCAAACGTCAGGTGGAAACTATTTTTGGGTACTTGAGCTGTTTATCTGTTCGTTCAGGCTGACAGATGAAATGTGTTCAGATGCGGGCAGTCACAACTCTCTGAGTTTATAGGCCAAGTGTGCTGCTTGCTCCCTTTTAACCTGGCTCTGTCTATGTCTTCTCCTTGCAGCCGCTGGTGTATGGGACACGTCGTGAAATGTTCTTCGAGCGCTATGGACGACTTCTATTGGACAAAATCATTGGCAAGGAACAGGTCTATGGTGTGCCGACACTACGACATTTGTGCCGGTAATTATCAACTGAAAGCTGAGAACGAACTTTGTGCCTTATAGGGGCCGCGTCTACTGTCCACTTGTCTTTGAAGTCCCGGCTGAAAGGATGCCTGATGGGTCACGGTCTGACAGGCGAGGCACATGGCTGCTGACGTTTGGCAGCCGAGCTCAACTTTGTTTTTTATTCAATTACTTTGGCTGAGATTGCTGCTGGTGCTCGACTCTCACCAGCTCTCGACGATAAGCCCGGAAAATTTAATAAGTACAAAAGTCGCAGCGCTCGGGCCTGTCTGATTGACAGACAGTTTGACAAAGCATTTTGTTGACGCTTCTGTTGCGCCTGCCAACTGGCCTTAAATTTGGCTGCTCTTTGTTTTACTTTGGCTCTCTGCCGCTTTAATGACCTGGCTTACGGCATAGTCGCTTTCCTTTTGTCTATTATGTCAATCGCTAGGGCTTAGCGAGCTCTCAGCTTAAGCAAAGTTGCGCTTCAGCCAACAGCTGTTGGCCAAATTTAATTGAATTTCGTACAAATTTGATTAGTAGTCAGCAGTTTAATCGATAAGCTGTCAAGCTATTTACTAATTTGATAAGTTGCCTACAAAGAAGTTTGCTGTGGCTTTTCCACTTTGCGCTCGGCTTGTGGCAAGCGCAGCACGCATTGACCCCCAACTTTTTCTATTTGCTTCGCATGTTTGCCATTTGCCAACTCACGTGTCATACAAATATCGCAACGACTTTGCCTCCTCCACCCACACAGGCCACTTGTACTTGTGTGCGCTCTAATACCCTGTAAGTTGAACGGGTGTGGACTATATTGAAAGCAAGGCTTTGCAGTTTCCCTTTAATTTTTAGACTTGAAAATTAGTTTTTAGTTTAATTTTAACTCCTTGATTAACAATTAGATTGCAAAGTGGAAATGATGAGAAAGGCTGGGATATATTATATTTTTTTTTCTATATTTTAAGCCCATAGCAGAAGTGTAATTGCTGTTTATATTTATATTTATATTTTTCAGTGGACTCTTGGCTCTTAGGTCTTAATTGTCTTCTTCCATTTTTAATTGAATTTTTATGAAAGCTTTACTAACCAAAATTTTTTCCTACATATAAAATTAATTTCAAATAGAACTACACATTTAACATTTAACATTTAACATTTACAGGGTATCTTCTAGTATACATATTGCCTTCGAACATTTTTCAGTTTGTTTGCATTTTTCTTCAACTGTTTGCCAGTTTATTTTTCTTTGGCTGTGCAACTGGACATGGCTTTTATGGCTTGTGAATATATATAGTCTATATATGTGCTTTACATGCATATTATATTCAGCAATCAATATATATGCAGGCATTGCATTGAGTGCGGTTGTGACCGCATTCGTAAAACTGATTTCAATTTCAATGCCTTTGGCTGCCGTTTGGCATTCGATTTATGCATTTTTCCTCCTCAGTTCAAGTTCTTTCAAAGGCGACAATTTGTGTTCAATTAAAGCCCTATTAATGTGACTCATATGCCACAAAGCGCATCTGAGTCTCAGTCCAGATATGGCGTATACGCCGCGTATGCTCGTTATTTTAATGATCGTTTAGCTGCAGTTGCTTGGGGACACGCTTCATTGATTGGTGGCGCCCCATAAAGTGGCCGGCACAAAAGACGGCCATAATTTACAGCTCTCAATAATGTTGACAACGCAAATTAACAGCTACATAAAAAGTTGCTCCCAGCTGACTGTGGCGAACAGCTTAAGCGAGAGATTAGCATATTCTAAAGCTGATGTCGCCTCGTTTTATGCTGTCAATTTTGTTGTTGCTGTTCAAGTTTTTGCATTTCGCACAGAGTATTTCGCAATTGCCTGAGAAAAGCCCACTCATACACACACTTGGGCAAGGTTCAGCGGTTTTCCCGTGGCCGACTCGCAAGCAGCTTTCACTATGCCTCAAAAAGACGCTTGATTGCGCGCGAATCAAGTGGGGAAAGTGAAAAAGTGTGCGAATAAGAAAACCAAGAAGAAAAATCTACACACCATTTCCGGCACTTGAACTTCTTTTCCTCCTTTGCTCTCCTTATACCCTGTAAATTGAGCAGGGCTCTGGCTCTGAATTTATTAAAGATGGATTATAAACTTGGTCCATTGTAAGGTGTGTATGTCAAGTTAAATACTATACACATTTGAGGAGATATAGGAAAATATCCAGTTCTATAAAAGGAATTTTTAAGCATATCAAATCAGAGTCCGAAATTCTCACCAAAATAATACTTTTTAAAGGGCATCAACGAGTCGTTCACATTTGTTACTGTTTTTCTTGAATACCGCAAAAAAGGAGGAGAAACGCAACTTTGTGCAAAAGTAAAGTTTATAGAAATTTTCTTACAACAAAAGTTTTAAGCACATGAACTTTGCTGAGCTGTGCGCTGTTCATTTCTTTTTTTTTCGCATGATTTTTTAGCTCTTTCTACTTTATTTTCTTGCTATAGCAGCTTATTATGTGAAACTTAAATTAATTTATGAAATAGCTGGTAAAGATTGACAGGCAGCGAAATGCCAAAGAGAAAGTTCTGAAAGCTGCTAGCTTTACGGCCAACTCTGGGCATATACTCAACCCATTTAGCTGGCAGATAGTTTGCTAACAAAAAGTCAAAGTCAAATATTTGTGATATAACGAAATTTCTTTACTCTGTCGCTTAGCTGCCGTATTCGTGATGTACTGCGCGAGCGTAATCAGCTGCCAAATGGCATCGATACGCTGCGACTGCCCAAGCGCCTGCAGCGCTACATTGACCTCACCGAGGAGCTGGACGGAACGCAGCTGCAGCCACCGGAGAAGCCGGTGCAGCGGCTGACAAACGCCATGCAACGCCTGGAGACCATCAGCAGCGGCACAGAGAGCGAGGACGAGAGCGAGAATCATGTGCAGCTATTAGAGGCAGTCACCGATGCTGAGAAGGCAGCTGTCGCCGCCTTTGTGGCCACCGGCGACGGGCTCAGGGGCGACGAGGCCATGGAGGCAGCCGTTGCGGCCTATGCTGCGGTCCATGATGTCAACCAAATAGCCCAATCAATGCCGTCCCACCCGCCGCTTAGCTAATTATATAGAATCTTTCTTGTTGTTCTTCCGTTTTTTTGTTTTGCACTCACCGATAGGTGTCCTCGCTGATGTTGATGCGACCGGGCACGCCGGTTGTTTCGGTGCGACTCGTCAGGTTGACCGTGTTGCCAAAGAGGCAATACCGGGGCACACGATTGCCGATGACGCCGGTGACCACCTCGCCCGAATGGATGCCAATCGTGATTTGCTGTGAATGGATAAACACATATTTAAGACAAACCCGTTTTATAGACGAGCAGCAGCTCCTTAAGTTTCTAATTTATTAACTGAATAAAATGTTTGCTCAACACCCAGCTAAAGAATGTGCCACGCGCAGATTACCAAGTCCAACACTTCATACAGCTAATAAACTTTCAAAGAGAGCGAGTGGCTAAAGAAGGCCAACAAAAATGACTCAAGTTCTGCACGAAAATGTGCCAAGTTGCAAGTTCCAAGCCAAACCGGCTAGAAGTTGCCACAATTACTTTGAAAAAGTTGCAGTTGCCACTGCCACTGCCACAGCCACATCCTCTGCTGCTGCTGCTGCTGCGGTGCCCGAAAGTTTTCTTTAATTAAATTTAAAATGAAATGAGCTGCGGCTGCGGCCAAAATACCAAAACGCAGAAACCAAAAACCCAAAAGCAAAAGGCGACAATCCCCAGCAGGTGGCATTGCCCCAAACGGGTCAGGAATTTGTGGCAAGGTGACTAGATGCTTGACTAGCTGCTAGCATGTGTGCAATTGTTTGTGTACGCTATGAAAAGCCAATGCAGGGAACAACAATTGCAAACAGTCGATCAACTTGACTGCCAGTTGCACTGTAGTCGCAGAAGTTCCAGCGATCTGGCTGGCAGATATATGTTTTCATAGGTAAGCAAAAAGTAAGTGCAAAGTAAAGTCATTTCTTGTATTGAGGAGAGATGAAATTTCTATCTGAAAAGCAGTTTACTTATAACTTATTTTGAATGGAAAATAGAAGGCCGACAGAATTCTTTATGAAATATAAAATCAAGAAATTAGCATAAAAGAGTTCATTTTCGAGGGGAAACACTCTTTTAATTGTCTAAAGTCAAATCGAAAACCGATTTGATCTTATTAACATATTAAATATCGAATATATCTTGCTCATATGCCATATAAAATCTTTTTTGCTGCCAAGAAATCAAGTTAAAAAGCAATAATATCTAATCAACATATGAAACATCTAATAAATTCTACTCATTTGCATATGAAATATTTTTAGAACAGATATATATGATAAACAGACTGTCAAAAACCAATCAACCCTTTCACTGGCCTGATTGCGTACAGGGTATCGATATAAGAGAGTATGCTGGCTTAATTACGTCTCTTAGTTTCGGCAATTGAACGTGGCGAGGTCGCACAAAAGTGGGCTATGTGGAAACTGGCGAAAACTTCGCCCCATTCATTTGGACAGCATTGAAAAGCGTGTCCAAAGCTTTTATGCTTGTACTATTTGTAGCTTGACTGAATGCAGAAACTGCGGCTAACTGAATTAAATCAATGTCTGGTCGACCATGTGGCAAGCAAATGTAATTTTGATATGATGCATTAGAATTAAAGTGAAGCAGTTTCCATGAAAGACCTTATGGAATATAAGTTACTATTTAATAAGAGCTCAAAATGGAGAGCTTACTAGACTCAGACTAGCTAGTACAGACATATATAGTACTCAATGGCAGTCTAATGCTGAAGCTAGTTAGCTTTTTAGTCTTTAATTAGATTATAAGTGCACTAATTAACTCGACTCATATGCACCAAAGAGTCAAATATTAATACATTATCTAAAAGTAGTATATCAGTTAGATATATTTGCTTTAAAGACAGTTGCTACATGAACATAACTCAACAGTTCTATCAACTTTAGCAAATGCATCAACTCAAATGCTTAATATATTTTGTGTAGGGTATTAACAAAGGAACTGCAAGCGAAAGTTTATTTGAACAGTTGTAGCAATATTTATTGATTGCAAGCAGCTGGCAGACCGAGCCAAAAGAATAGAAAGCTTTTTGCTAGGAAAACAGAATTGCATAATTGGCTACATCAGGGGGCCGAAGGTGGAGGGTAGGTGGAACTGTGTTCAGGGGTATTCTGTTACAGTTTTTATTGTTTTCACAGTGAGGGCATTCCATCGTGTTGTTTTTGTGCTGCTAATGAAGCGCGAAATAGTCAAACAGCAGCAGCAGGAAAGCGAATCCTGTTGGGATTTGTTAATTGCATTTCGAACCATCTATCAATTTGTTGCGTTGCCTGTCGAGCGGCAAACGAGTTTAGTCTGTTTCGATATGATTTTGTTTTCTGCTTGTTTTCTATTTGTGGCTTTTGGCAGTCGCACATGCCTCAAAGTTGAGCCGGAGTTAGCCTGGCTACGTGCATCCGGCTGTATTACCAAAAGCAATCACTCAAAATATGAGCAATGGTGGCAGCCGCAGCAGTTCACAGTGGTCGGATTGCATGCAATACGAGTGCAAGACGAATGGCCCGATGGCTTAAGACACCGCACTCGAGGTGAGGCTGTGGGGAGGCTTTGCAATGGAAATTCTAGCAAAAACAACTTTGACAATAAAGCCGGGCGACATGAGCTGAGCATTCGAGGACGACTTCCTGCTACACGCCTTGCCGCACATGCTGCAAGTGACTGCAACCAGCCACAAGCATTGTCCACACGTACAACAATGCTGACATCGGCGCCGTCGCTGGGCTGCTGTAATTGTGAAGGATGCCATCAAGTCGACATCCCCATGTTCTCCTGCACACACATATCTATATATATATACTCCTATGTACATGTCTGTCGTATATTTTAAGCTCAAGCATTCAAAGTGTTTAAGCCCACAAGAGAGAACAGAAAGAGATCTAAGGAAAAACTAGTTTGGTCAAGGTATAGAAGAATAGATACCCTTAAATATGTTTATATAGATACTATATAATTTAGAAGTTATGGAATAAAGTAGTCTGATGCCAATCGCTGATGCAGCAATATGCCCGGCAAGCAGAGATGAGGCACAGAACGAGACACGGTTTCAGCTGTTAACAACTCTGAAATCTGTAGTCAAACTAAGCACAGGATCAAAGTGTCTTCCGCTTGTTATGTGCGATAGTGACAAATTTGCATACCCTTTGGAAAAGCCTTTTCAAATTGCAGCAAGCCGCAGCTCGACGCAGCTGACGGTCAAGTGGCACGGGCTGCCAAGGTCTTAGGGAAGAGATGGCCGCTGGCGGCGGATGAAGGGAGCGGCACGTGTTGTCAACCCAAGCACGTCACACAACTTGATGCTTGTGTTCTGACACGGTGTCATCAATTTGGAATTAATTTTAGCAATTTACACAATTTGCTACAACTTTTTGCCAGCGCAACTTTTGCAGCAAATCAACTATTTTTATGCGACGAAACCTATTCAAATGTTAAGAGGGTATTATATTTTAATGCAAACCTATGTGACGGGCTGAACCAGATACTATGAATATATGTATATATATATATATGTAACTATATATATATATATTTATATCTATTTAATATATTTGATCAGATTTGAGTGGGATTTTAGAAATATTATAATTAGTTTAGGTATTTTAATCATAGAAAAATGAAGATCAGATTTTTGTATTTTCGAAGATTCCGACATAGCTTTATATATATATAGCTATATATTTAACAATACATTATTCAGAGCTAAGTGAACTTTGAAGTCGAACCTTCAATAAGTAAACCTTTGCAAATTCGTATAGCCCATGCTGATATCAAAAAATGATTAAAGTCTGGAAGCTGTACGACAGTTGTGTTTTAAATTGCTTTTCAGTCTCCTCTGCTACGTTGAAAGGGCATCTCCTCGAACGCCTCGTTTTAGTTCGTTTTTTTTTTATTAATATTTTACGTGCTGCTTGTCACGGCAATTTGTGAGTCTGTGCCCCATTGATATTTATGCAACATTGAGCCGTTGCTTAAATGCATTCAGCAGCAAATTGCGCGCAGCGTGTTCAACTTGATGCTTCGCACGAATTGGGGGTAACTTTCGAATGCATTCAGTGCGCACAATTAGCAGGCAGCCAAACGACTGAGCGCCAACTGGCAACTGGCAGCTCGCAACTGCCAACAGCCGTCTCTGTCTTTGTCCCTGTGCCTGGGCCTGCCCCACAGCCCTCTGTGGCACTTGAAAACTTGTACATTAGTTATGCATACAATTTGCAGCATTCATTTAATATTGTCGCGCCTCAAGTGTGCAACAGACAGCAACTCGTAACTTGCAACAACACAGATTTGAGCCGCGTTTGCGCCAAACTTGTTTTTAACTAACGATTTATTAAGCGTGCTCAACTGCTGCAACTCCAAGCTGATTTCAAATTTCATTAATGCCGTAACTGAGTTATTTCCTACATAAAACTGATTTATTTATGGCCCATTAATTACGATGAGCATTCAAACTGACAAATCAATTGAAATGCTTCATAATTATTGATTGCCAATTATTATTAAAATTGACCAAATGGAAATGCCATGAGCTAGAGCTAAAATATGTTGAATTTAGCTCGATTTGGGCAGAGCTTTGAAATTTCATTTGAGAAGTTAAGATGATGCTTAAGAGGCCAAGTTAAGCAATAAGATAACATGTAAAGGCATGCCTTGCCAGCTGACACGTGACACATACAATATTTGAATATTTAATTAAGCTAAGATTTTATCTAACTTACCACTGGATTTGAGCCCATTTTGACATTCTTGGCCATGTCCATCATATCTAGAGCGACGCGCGCCATGCATTTGGCGTGATCCTCGCAATGATCCGGCAGGCCCGAGACGGCCATATACTTATCGCCCACAGTTTCCACCTGGCGAGTAAATAACATACACGTGTGTGTGTGTGTGAGTAGAGAAAATAGATATTCATATGGCTGCCAGGCAAATTGACAGCTGACCTAAAAGCGAGCTTGACCCGGTTAAATTTTGCAAACACTCTGTGGCCGAGCATAAAATTGTAATTAAGTGTCAGGCTGATGGCAACGTTTTGACAGCCATTAAAGACGCATTGAGGCGAGTGCATTCAATGGATATTCATCAAAAATATATATATATTAATGGCACTCACCTTGTAGACGTTCAGGTTGCGCTTGGAGTCGGTCAGCGCGTCGAAGACCGTGTAGAGCTCGTTAAGCATTTTCACAATTTTCATGGCGCCCTCGGGATCCGTGTTGGCCGCACAGTATTGCCCAAAGCCCACAATGCCTGAGAACATCAGCGTTACGGAGTCGTAGCTGTCAAAATATATATAAGCATTAAATAAATTGCGCAAATAGCAAATTGTTTGCGGCCATTGACAGCTCTGGCTGGGCGCCTAGTGCTGGTTGCGTGTCGTGCCGAGGCGTCTTGGACGACTTACCTATATCTTAATGGTAATGAATGCGTGTCGTGTTGATTCGTGACACGATTAATACGATTGATCTGAATTACATTTGATTAAGCCTTGACTCTACCTGACTGAGCACAGCCCAAGAGGACTCATCTCTATGTTTATGGCCCTCTATGTATGTCGTGTTGACTCGTGACAGGTTTTATATCAATGTTTATTAATTTAGTAACTCATTTGAATGCGTGTTAGCAAATATCTATTACCAACACGCACCTGTCGCAGCTGACTTATTACAACAAGCCCTACGACGTAGGAGGACTTTTATAGCTTCCTTGCACAGTATTTTCAATGAATATAAGTGCTTTTTGATTGGCTTGTAAGATTCAAACTCGATTCGTTCATATCATGCGGCACGACACGAGCCCAGCGTGGTTTGTTAAACGTGGTTGGGGATTTTTGGCTTACCGTTTGGGCGGCACTGGACGCTGATGTCGTAACTCATTTGCCACCGACTTGGGCAGCACTGAGTAGAGTAGCCTGGTGTGTAGCATCACCATCAGAGGCGCAGCGGCGAGGCAGAAATACCAACGGCAACAAATGACAAACAAATGGAAAGAAAATGTTCGAGTAATTTTAATTTCGCGCCTGAAAGCATGCAACGATTTCTTCTCGTTGTTCTCCTTGCTGTGCGCTCTTACTAATGTGTTTCTATTTGTGTTACGCTTTGGCATCGTTTTTCTTACCTGTCCGTCTTCTGCTTCTCACTCTCGAGATCGCGAAACGTTTGCTGTAGCTTATCCGTCAGCATTTCCAGATTCTTGGTCAGCTTGTACTCCGCCTCGAATTTCTCGGAAAGCAGCACCAAGTCTCTGGCCGCATCGTGCAGCGGCACATCCGAAATGTAGAGCCCCTTCCTATAATAAATAATGTTGCTGTGAGCTGTGCGGCTGAATTGGAATTGGCAAAAAATGACGCGCATTTTATATAACTTAAGTCTATTTGGATTTAACTTGGCTTCTTCTTTCGGCAACGAAAATAAAAAACGTACACGTCAGCCAGCTTTAGCTGAGGGTGCGTGTGGCCCGGCTTATAGTCAGGTGGCAATACATATTTGCTGTCGCCAATAAATTCAAGCAACATATTTGCCTTTTCTTCCAATTCCGAGGCGCAAATAATAAACAAGGCGCCATAAAGTGTCAGCAGCTGCTCTATAAATCTACATTTAAATAAACAAATGTAAATTTTTATGCTTTAGGTAATTTTAATTCACAACAGATAGCAGCAGATCTGCCATGCTACAATGTCTGCATTCATTTGGGATTATGCTTATGTCAGAGAAATCGCTTTTAGAGAAGCCATATTATGTAACAATAGAAGGGCGAAGCAACATTAATGCCATCTTGGCCCACAGAACGACAGACAGCGAAAATGTTTACGAAGTGAGACAGACAGAGTGGGCGAAATAGTGAAATAGCAATAGCTAGCTGTATTGGCAAGGCAGCAGGTCATGAAATTATTGCTGTCATAATCAGTGACTACAATACAAATTTCAGTGCATTCAGTTGGAAAATTTGTGTACATAAGCTGGCGCAGGAATAGTAAATTATGAAACGACTTGAATCAGTTACTTTTCGCAGAAATATATTAATTAAATTGAAATTTATATCTGTTGCTTTGACGCTCTACTCACTTGGTTAGATCGTCCAAGTTCATGACGCTCGGATAGCACTGAAAGAGTATACGATCCGTTTCGGGTATATACATCATTTGTCCCTGGAAGATGGCAGAGTAAAAAATTAAGCTAAAAACAAAACAATTATCGTAAAAATGAGTTTAATGTAATGCTTTTGTGGCAAGCCGCATTAAATTTAATGCAAAACGATTTCAGTTTCAATTTCAATGGTGGCGGCTGTGCTTAAACGGCCATGTGGCTTATGTATTGAGTGTGTGTGTGGGTGTGTGCGACCGCATACTGAAATACGGTTGATTACTGACTAAAGGGAAACAGAATTAAAAAGAGAAACAGAGAGAGAGAGAGAGAGAGAGAGAGAGAGAGAGGGAGAGAGAGCCAAGCTTGCTTTAGCAACGCTTACCTTAAGTCTCAGAAAGCGCTGCTCGAGCCGGCTGCTCATGGCGCCCTGCCTCGTCTGGAGCACATAGATGGTGTTTATGTGCGATAGAATGTTCTCGAACGTTAGCTGCAGGTGTGGTCTAATGGCCTCCACCACCTCGATTAGCGAGCAGTTCTCCTCGGCCACTCTGCGGCGATGGTAGAAGGTCGGTCATAATGGCTAATTGCAAACATGACAATGCCCAGCCTGGGCCGGCGTCCATTAGTCCTTAACTCACCTGGGTATAACGCGGGATACGGCCTTGCCGGCCTGCACGATTTTCATTTGTCTATCGAACATCAGGTGGAAGGGGAACACCTTGCAGAAAGTCGCTGGCGAGATGAGGGGCGCTGTTGGCCAAAGGGTTCACATTGCCGATTAGCCTGGCAATTAGCCAAATTAATAGAAAACGCTTTTTGCCTTACCTTCGCAGAGAAACTCCATGTCATCGATGGCCGCCTGCTCATCCTTCTTGGCATCCACCTGCGACTTGGCGGCCACATTGATTTCACGTATCAGAAACTGTACGTGGTCATAGCGCTCGATGTCGTCGCTCTTGTTCTTCAGCAGGCGCAGGCACTTCTGGTCCTTGTCGCCATCGCAATCGAAGCTATCCTGCACGAGTGGCCCACATGAGGCGCCGCCTGTGGCCTTCGATGTGGCCGGCAATTGCTCGCCAGCTGTGGATTGTGGATTGGTTGAGGCCAATACAATTGAAGATTAATAGCAATGCCAAAGAACAAGCACAAAATACATATGTATATCTAGAGATGAGCACGTGCTGTCTCGTGACACGAGTGAGAGTGAACTAAATTATTTCGTTAGCTTATCCAGGACCTAAAACTCTGAGCTCAAAGGTCACGAGACCATCGCTAGTCTCCATTGATACTCTAAGCCCCAATACCCCATTGACTTCAGCTAGTCACAGTCGACGCCTGCGGCTGGCTTAGCTTTAAAATGTTTCGCTTTCTGCTGACTGTTGTGTAATTTACAAATACTATCCAATAGCTATTAATTGTGGCATATGGAACGCGCTAGTCCATTATACCCGCTGTTAATAGGGTACGTAATGAGCCTAGAGCAATTTGTTGGCCTGGATTCTGCTTCGCTTACCCGGCTCAATAGCAATTTGCTGAGCATCGTTGTTGTTGTTGATGTTGTTGGCGCCGTTGTTGCTGTCATTGTTGTTGTTGGCATTGTGATTATTATTGTGCTCGGGTGGAACTTGAACGGGTGCAGCAGCAGCAGCAGCAGCAGCATCGGCTGCCGCTTCATCGGATCCGCCAGCTGTCGTCTCAGTGTCCAATTGTTGCTGCTCGCGTGCCAGGGCGCGCTCCTTCTCGGCCTCATCGATGGGCTCCCCCTTGCGCTTGACAATGTCGATTTCCACCTCGACGCCGTGCAGCTTCGAGGCGACGGCCTGTAAAAGATAATGCGACGGGTTAACTTCGTGAGCAGGTGTCAGGTGGTTGACCAATGCCGTTTACCTTGACTATGCCGATGACAATGTGCTCGAGGCCAGGGCGTTCCGAGTAATAATGCAGCAGCAGCTCGCCATCCTGTTCCGTGCAGCGAAACGAGGGCGCTCTCATGCCCGGATACAGGGTGCCCAAATGGTCGTGCAATGCATCCAGATTCTATATGCAAGCCATAAAATTATTGTTGTTGTCATCGTCGTCGTTGTTGTTGTTGTTGTTTTTACAAATGTTTTCCCATGAAAATGCAGCAAAAATTCAATTTCATTTTTCATTATGACTAAGGAATGGGGCTCAGATGGATGACGAGGATGCCTGATGATGAGGACCGTTGATGGTGCGGTGAAAAGTGTGGAAAATTGAAAATAAATCGAATGTGAGTGCAACAAAAGGCCAGGCCACACCCCAATCAAGCTGCGTGAGTATATATTTGTGTGTGAGTGTGTGCCTCTCTCTCTCTCTCTCTCTCTGCGTGCACTGAAGCAAAATAATGCTTATCAATGCGACTGAAAGCGAGCAGCAACTGGATGGCAACATGAAAAATGACTTGCATCGAAATTGGCACCAGCAAAAGGCAAACTGCGCAGGCGAGACAGGGTGCGGCATGGCCAGGTGAGATGCTGTGTGATGCATGTGAAATGAGCGTTAAATGGGAAATGTGCTTTAATTAAACATAGGCAGGCCAAACACTGGCCAAGCCTGGCCACAGCGAACGTTGAGTACTTAAAGTGCTTGCTGTGCTAGATGAACTGCCACAGCAGCATCAATTCTGCTGAGATCAAAATTCTTTAAGCACCGCTTTGCGTTCTTTATGACCAAGCTTGACTGTACTTGCTGGCATAATTTACCTGTAGAAAGTCACGCGGCGTAGCGCCCAACACTTGAAGTATTTTGTCATAGCCCGAATCCTGGCAGAACTCAAAGAATGTTTTGCCAAATAGCTCCAATATGTCATCGGCAGGTATTTCTGTATGAGGATATATAAATATATATATATACGTATTTATGTATGTGCAGGCTAGGAATGTTATGAGCCGTGTTTTATGTGCCACCAACTACAGCAATAACCAGTTAAGTGCTTCTCGTCAGCTACTTACTGAGTATCTCAACAGCTGCTCCAATTAGATTGTATGTTATTTCGTCATCGTAAATTTGACGCACCAGAAACTGTCCCTCCATGCTGACCATGGCCTTTTTTCTGTACGTTGTTGTTATTGTTTTGTTTTTTTTTTTTTTTTTTGTTGTGTGTGGAGCCATCAAAATGCCGGATCGGAGGAGAGGCGGAGCATGCAGCAGCCGAAATATGAAGAGCGCCAGCAACAGGAGCAGCATGAAGTAGAAAAACAAGAGGAGAAGCAGAAAATACATACATTAATTTTAATTAAATTGCTGGTGTGTGTGCGTGTGTCTGTGCGTGTGCGTGTGCGTGGGAGTGTGCTTGTTTATGTGTATTTTAGCCTGAAGCAGCCATAAAGCTAACTGACGCGCATATGGCACTGGCTTTTATAACCGCCACGGCAGCCGGAACCAAAGTCTTAGCGAGCATTCGGCATGCTGCAAATGGTTTTCGGTTTTCGGTTTTCGTTTCATTTTAGCTGCCTGCAAAATGGATCAAAATCATATTTTTGATGCCATCTAAAAATGTTAATTAAATACACATGCGTATGGACTGCCAAGCTGGCGCTTTAAGCTGATCTGATGTGCATAGAGTGAATCACTTGCCAAGATAAATCACATACCTATAGCCATGATTCACTGCAGTTTAAAGATTATACAAAATTCATCTTAGGACTGAATGTCAGCTTCCATTAGATCATTCTTCCTCAATCTTACCAACACTGTGACTTTAATGAAATATGAGCAAATCTCTTTCTTTTCGAGCTTATGAAAGTCAATTCCAATTCCTGCTTTGCTTCGGCATAACTTCAAGTGTATTTAAAGAAGCTTCGACAATTGTTAATTCCCGGACAAAACTTGAGATGCTTTTGCATTGAATTACAATGAAAGCAACAAAAACCAAATGGAATTTCCCGCTACCTCAGCTCGTTGTTGTTGTTGTTTTTGCTGTTGTGAGCATTGCTTGAATCGAGTTTATTATTTAGTAGAACTTGTGCCAAGCTGTTGCCAAAACAAATTGAATACAACGTTTCAGCGATAGAAAAAAATATAAAAATAATGGAGAGCAGGGTGTTTTCGACTGCGTAATACTCTGTTCGAAGCTGAAAGAAAAGAGGGAACAAAACTTGATGCTAAGCTCTTCTAGACTTAGCATCAAGTTTTGTTTCAGTTTTAGTTTCAGAAGTGGTCCGAATTTTACTTAAGCGTTTGCTTTAGCTTATGAACTTAGCAACTCCATTTGAGCTTTCGCACAGGTCAGCAGAAAAGAGCGCACGCTGCAGAAAAGTAACAGAAATCACATAGACAAAAAAAGTCACAGCAAAGTCGATGTTATACGTGCGAAAGTTTTTCCATTTTCTTGCCGTGCGTCTGTCTGTACCTGGCCTAACTTTTGATATTCCCGCAGCAGCAGCACTAAACAGCTGCCGCCTGGTGGACGACGCGGGAGGAGCATGCAAGGTCGGCTTGACAAGGGGAGTGCGGGGGAGTGCGCCGCATTTGTTGCGCATTGCAAGCGAATTGCTGTTGCAGCTAGAAGCAGCTGTCAAATTGCAACTAGCAAATGCTATCAGCAGCTGTTGGCAGCAACACGCAAATAGAATGCGCTCGAAAATATGTTCACACTTGATGCGATTTAGTTGACTGCGGCACTCCAACTCGAGCTCTACTCTTACAGAATCTGTGCGTAAGTGATAAAAATTGATTTCTAATTTCCTGTGAACACAAAGCGAACATCAAAGCGGGCGCCGCAGCTGTTGCGGTTCTACTCAAAATTCCAAGGGATTTCCGCATTAAATGGAAATTGATTTTCGGGCTGCAATTTATGATGCTGCCATGATATATAGTACGTGTGTGTGTGATGAAATTTTAAATTAAAATTAGATTTATGCAGACGCCGCTGTGCATGAGTCTTGGCAGTCTTAACTTTGAAGACTTGATAAACTCTATTTATATAAAGCTAAAGTTTTGAAATTGTTTATATGTTGTTATTTAAGGGCTAATGTGTTGTTTAAAGTCTTGCCCAAATGTGAGCTTAATCGAATCCAAGGCGCAACAGGCACACAGCTCACCTGTCTGGATTGATATTTATTGACTTCAATCTGTGTGTGTTTGTGTGTGTGTCTGTCTGTGGCACTCTTTGATGGACAACTTAATTGAAAAAGTTAATGTGTGCGCGTAACAAAGCAACACATCAAATGGCCCATTTGTTGAATTTGTCTTTTATTATCTAATCAAATTGGCGATAAATGTGTGAAATGAGGAGCGAAAGTTTTTTATTTAATGTGCTTGCCGAAAAAGTAAACATTAATTTGGAGCATTTAAGCCAATTTATGCTGTGCACATTAATTACACGCCGCGCAAATTTATCACCTTGTTATTTGCAGCCACTCACGACACGACATTAAGTATACGCCGTGTACGCGTAGCGTAACAAATGCAAGGCGACATTTAGTAGCTAGCTGTCGCTTGGCTGTTTACAAATTCAATTTCCCCACTTATCTCTCTAGCGCTCATTTGAATATTGCGTGGTGGGCGGCTGGGGGCTGGGGGCTGGGGGCGTGGTTGCGGGTGCGACTAAGTGCCCTAATCTGGCAAATGGCGTTGGCCGGCAAATAATATGCAAACATTTGACGGCTAAATAGCTGCGAACCAATGGAGCAGTCCTAAAATAATGCTGTTGGCCAGTTGGCTTTACCTAGTTGCACGTGAATTGGTTGCCAAATGGCGCAGCAAAAAAAAAAACCAAAAAAAAAAATAAAAGGAAAGTTCCATTTGGCAATTAGATATTTGTAGGCTCGGCCAGGCTCGAGCTGTAGCTGGAGCTGGATTTTGTTTTTGACGCGTTCGCGTGTAAATATTATTGTTTAATATGCCACAGGCAAACACACACACACACACACACACAGACAAGGATGTATACCCATTACACACACATGTCTGTTTGGGGATTTTATGCGGCTCGAACACGCAGCTGCCTTGATGCCCGCCATGCGTGCGTGCGTGCCGTGCTCGCCCTCTCTGTCTCTGGCTGTCTCTCTCAATTTAATGGCGAGCCACTAAATCGCTTTATTATGAACTACTTGTTGGCTTTTGGCAGCTTCAACTTCCCCACTCTAAGTTGGCTTACAAACTTTTCGCCAAAGTCAACCGCAATTGATAACAAATCAATTAGCTAATTTGATTTGCCATTTGTGGCTTTAGGCGCCTTTTCCCCATCTAAAGCCCACGGCACAATACTTCACTCCAAGCTTCAGTAAGTTGCGAATTTTTAATGAGACTGCGCTGCTTTGTGAATTTAATGCGATAATAGCCTTAAATTGCGAGTTTCTTTGCTGCCAGTTCTCAGCCAGCTTTGGGCTTGGCTTATGAACTTCGGCCCACATGTCCCTGACAGTTGCCACAATGTTGCTTTGCTTTGTAGGCGGCTCAAAACTTAAGTTTCGCATGTGTGTCATCCGCATCTGCACACACACACACATAGATACTGCGAGAGAGAGAGAGAGAATAAAACTAGCGCAATGCTTGGGCACTTAGCTAAAGAGCCCGCCTGCTCCGCCCAGCTAAATATAAAACACATTCAGCTTACCTCTGGCCTACGTTGGTTACTTTGATTTTGTCGTATCGTATGTAAGCTTACTGATAATCGGACAAATTGAAAAACATCTAAGCACTTAAACTGTTTTTGTATCGCGTTTGACTACCCAAAATATTTTGATTTACTTTGCTTAAGATAAAAAAGATTTATAATAAAAATATTTTATATTTAAGTATTATTGTGAGTTGAATAAAGTGTTTTAGCTTGAAGAAGCCAAAGTACTTGGATTATATCTAAACTTCAAGTTTCAAGATAACATCAGAGCTTCAAGCTCTTGAAAAGAAATCACTGACTAAAGCCAACATCTTGCCTAGGTCTTTACCTTCAAGAATACAAGTTTCAGCTTAAATCTAAAATTTCACACATATTAAGTGCATTGCATATTCGGCTTAGCGTGTGCGCTACTTTTCTAAGGAGCGCCAGCCGTTGCAGCGACCCTCCCAAAAAAGCCCCCCACCGTGTGGCAGCAGCACTGCGGAAAGCTGCAGCGAAGAAACGGAAACGAAATAAGGTTAAAAGCCACTTAAGACTTGTGCAAGTTAATGTGGCACATAACTCAAGTGAGTCACATGTTTTATTGTGCACAAATAGAGAAGCAGAGATACACACACACACACGCACGCACACAGTGAGACACTTTAGTTGGACCATGGCCAGGGCCAGCTTTGGCATTAGCATTGCTAATAGCAAAAGCTGCCTTGTTGCTTGCACCTAAAATGTGGCGACAATATTCGCAAAACCCAGGCAAACGGAGTTGAAGAGCTTTGGTAAACTGTTGAACATTGAGCACTGGCCACATGGGCTAACAAATTAACATTGAAATTGCAGTCAACGCAGAGACAGAACCAGAGTCAGAGCCACAGCTACGGATTGTCTATGTTTAAATACCCTGTACTTGTTATTGAAGTAGACAAAAGGGAAGATGCAAGAGCCTTAGATGTTGCAATGAATTGAAATGCTGTAAACACAACCCAGTTAAAGGATTTGGAATAGAGAAGACAAAATCTGGGTTCAAACTGAAAGCCATAAAAGTTTTTCACTTCTTCATTGATCACGCTAAAGGGTACCCTAAGGACGAGCAGTGTCCAATGCAAGTGCTTCGGTCCGTTGTTCTCTGTGTTTATGTGACTTGGGCGTCGTAATCCTTGAGGCGTGTTATTCAAAACAGGCAGCACTGGGGCAGTGGCAGCAAGGCGGCAGGCAGCTCTGCAGCTGCACGTACTTTGCGAATGTTTGTGAAACTGCGTTTTCCTCAGCCTGCCCCCCGGCTGCTTCGGCTGCGAGTTTTCATGTGTGCGCGTATTTGTATGCGATTAGCGTTAAACCGCTGCAGAGCAACCACAGGCAGACGTGATGTACGTCGTTAATGATGGAGGAGGCCACAGGCCTGGCCGCCAGCTGGGAGCCAGTTCAACCCTCATCATGAACATCATCATCAGCATCATTGGCAGCAACCTTCTCATCATTGCGTATGTCATTGTCAT